CACACACACACACACACACACACACACACACACACACACACACACACACACACACACACACACACACACACACACACACACACACACACACACAGCAAAATAACTCACCAATATGATAAACAGATGACAAAGAACTACAAAGATATTCAACATCATTTATTATTAGGGGACTGAAATTTTAAGAACCAGTATGCACAGCTATTCAGGAAGTATAGACTGAGAGAACTGTCATTTGAGGCCAGTGAGGGCATTATCAAGATCCCACCTCAATCATTAAGTATAAACTAGACATAGGGTGAAAGCTAGGCATCACAACGAAGCAGGAGACATAACTAGGAGGATCACAGTCCAGGCCTTCCAATGCAAAAAAGGGAGACCCTATCAAAAAATAATTGAAGCAAAAATGGCTGAGACATGGCTCAAGTGGTAGAGGACCTGTCTAGCAAGTATAAGGCCTCATACTGCCACTGCCAGAAAGAAACAAATATCTAAAATCAATATCCTGGCAAGGATGTGGAACAACAGCAAATCTCATTCATTGCTGGTGGAAATGCTCAACAGTACAGAAGCTATGAAATACCGTACATTTCTCATGAACCAAATACTCTTATCATTAAATCCAGCTATCATGCCCCTTGATATTTACTCAAATAGGCGGAAGGCACATCTGTACACAACTTGCTCACAAGAATCTGAAGGCACTACTACAAAAAAGGTTTATCAAAAGATATTTAATGTCACTAACCATTACAGAAATGTAAACAAATCTATAATGAGAAAGCCCAGCATGGTGGCATATGTCTGTAATCCTAGCACGAGGACATTGAAGTATCCTGAGTTCAAAGCCAGCCTAGGCTATCTCAAAAACAAAACAAAACTTTTAATGATAGAGTTCCTGAAACCCAGTAAGATGGCTACTATTAAAAAAAAAAAAAAATCCTATCAAGTCCCTTAGTTCAAACACCAGTATCAGTAAAAAAAAAAAAAAAAGAAAGAAAGAAAAAGAAAAATGTGGCAAGGGTGTAAAGAAATGTAAGCTTTTTTGCACTTTGGGTGGAAGTATAAAACAGTAAAAGCTGCTATAGAAAAAAAAATTAAGAGCCAGTACCTGTGGCTCACACCTGTAATCCTAGCTTCTCAGGGAGCTGAGATCTGAGGATCATGGTTCAAAGCCAGCCCAGGCAGAAAGTCTATGAGACTCTTATCTCCAATTAACCACTAGAAAACTGGAAGTGGTGCTGTGGCTCAAGCAGTAGAGCGCTCACCTTGAGCTGAAGAGAGCAGGGATAGCATAGCCCCCAAGCCCAAACAGAGTTCAAGCCCCACGACTGACAAAAAAGAAAGAAAAAGAAAAAAAAATTAAGAACAGAGCTATCATATAATTCAGCAATTTCACTTCTGAAAACAAGATCTTAAACAGGTACTTGTACATCCATGTTTACAGTATAACATATGAAGGCAAGATAATATTCAGACAGAAAAAAGGATATATGTATGTGTGTATATATATATATGTATATATATATACATATATATAGTGTCCCAATAATGCCAGCAGGGGAGAGTATAAAGCCTCTGCTAGAAGATCACAAGTTTGGGGCAGCTTAGGCTACAAAGCAAGATCTGTCTCAAACAGATTAAGAGGTTAAAATTTTAATAAGAAACTAACAAAGATTATAGTACTTCCTATGAATAATAAGGACACAAACCTACAATTAAGAACCAAAATTCTGTACATTGAAAACAAAGTGCTGTTTCCACTGAGGACTATCAAAAAGGATTACGATGTAAATCACAAAGAAATTCAATGAATTTGAAAGATCTGGTTACTGATCAAAAATGGAAGATATAGGAGAGACTAGAACTATCCCAAATATTTCTTAAGTAAAAAACAAAAACTAGAATTACTCTGATTAGTCTGGAAATTAGTTAACCCTCTAACTGGAGGAGCTTTTGCAAACAAATTAGTCAACATCTTGAACACTTGAACATGGTCTAGTTTTAAACAAAAACAGAAAAGTCAGATAGCAAAAAGCAGCACATACCTGAACACACTACCTACTTATTTTATCCTTGGCTACTTACACAAGTTCTCAAGTTTTAGAAAGTATAATTGGAAGTTTATATCCTTAACTACCAGTGCAAATTCTAAATTCTCCCTCTTAAAATATTTAACTGAAAAAGAGCTACAAACTACTGTTAACCATGTCTACATGGAAATCTGCCTATCTTAAAGTTCAGAGAAGCTAGATGCTGGAGGCTGATGCCTATAATCCTAGCTACTTGGGAGTCGGAGATCTGAGGATCTTGGTTCAAAAGCCAGCCCAGGCAGTGAAGTCCATGAGACTCTTACCTCCAATTAATCAACTAAAAAGCTGGAAGTGTCACTGTGGCTCAAGTTGTAGGGGACTAGTCTTGAGCAAAAAGGAGCTCAGGGATAGTGCCCAAGCCCAGAGTTCAAGCCCTAGGACTGGCCAAAAAAAAAAAAAAGCCGGGTGCAGGTGGCTCACGCCTATAATCCTAGCTACTCAGGAGGCTGAGATCTAAGGAACATGGTTCAAAGCCAACCTGAGCAGGAAACTCCGTGACTCTTATCTCCAATAAACCACTAGAAAACCGGAAGTGGCAATGTGGCTCAAGCTATAGAGCACTAACCTTGAGCTGAAGAGCGCAGGGACAGCGCCCAAGCCCAGAGTTCAAGCCTCATGACGGACAAAAAATAAAATAAAAAGGATCTGAGAAATCACAGAAAACTCAATTCATTTGCTTACTAGATATAGACAAACTTACTGATACTTAATGAACTCGGGTTTGCAGTGTAATAAATGTCACAAACCAAAATAACTCGCTGAATATGGTAAACCTGGAATCCAGGCCCAAAGACAAGACACTGGGGAACTTTTCTTAATAAAAACATCTGTTTTCCAGGCACAAGTAAAAACCTGTAATCCCAGCCAGTTGGGAGGCTGATGCAGAAGGATCTCTTGAGCCCAGGAATTTTGATACCATCCTGGGCATCATGGGGAGAGCAGGTCTCAAAGTGGAAAAAAAAAAAAGAGAGAGAGAGAGAAATCTTATAGAAAGTAGCCGCAGAGGGGCTGGGAAGGTGGCTCAGTAGTAGAGTGCTTGCCTTGCATGCCTGAGGCCCTGGGTTCGATTCCTCAGCACCACATAAGCAAAAAGAAAAAAGCTGGAAATGGTGCTGTGGCTCAAGTGGTAGAGCGCTAGCCTTGAGCTGAAGAGCTGAGGGACAGCGCCCAGGCCCAGAGTTCAGGCCCCATGACTCTACCCCCCCATAAAAAAAGAAAAAAAAAAGTAGCTGCAGATGCTGGTATCAACAGAACTTTTCATATTCCAATATTTCTACACCTTAATCTCTCAGCACAACAAGATATTTCATTAAGGACAATTGATAATACCAAATGATGACAGTATTGAAGCTGAGTACTAAGTAAATTTTTTTCAAACCCTACTGGAAGGAAAGGTAAACAATGATTAGTGAAAACACAAAAATATACTAGACCTAAGTCACCTAACCCTGAGAGTCAGATTAAGATCTACATCTATTATAGGTCAACAACATGAAGTTTAGTTTCCATACTGTAAATGTAAATAGGTGGTGATGTTGTTGTTTGCCAACTAGAAAGATTTAAAAGCAGAAGATCAAAGAGTAAAAAACTAATGTCTTAAATCAGTATCTCTGACAGAACATAAAAATGGCTTTCACTTACACACAGGTATATATACAATGTGAAAAAGACATACACGCAGAGTGTTACATACTTTTATAGAAACCATACTGTTCCTGGCAAAGTTGACAAGTTTTAACCTGCCTTAAAAATTACTATTCACTGCCTTTATCCCACTCTAATTTTATTTAGTGTTACTGTTTTAGACACCCTACAAAAACAGCACCAGAGCAAATTCTTGTACATTTATTTCAATATCCTGCCTACTTTTAAGAGCGGAAGAGTCTAACACAGCAGGGGGAAAAAAACGTGACGTGCACAACCTTGATCCAAAATACAGCTCCTCGTCCTCTAATTTTAGGACTAACCATTTGTCTCTAAGCAGAGGTTAAAAAAGAAACCTGCAAACTACAGTCCACTTGTAAAAAAGCACCGAGACGGTATCAGTGGGAGTTGGTTATTTATCAGAGGGAAAACAAATCACGCTCGCCTTGCCCAAAGAGCATTCTCATTAAAATTAAAAGATCAGCGTGGTGACAACTTCACAGCAACTGACAAAGGCAATGAGTGCACAGCCTTCAGCTGCTGGACGACTTTATGTTTGCTGAATCCGTAAAAAGGACGAGTCCACCGAGGTATCTGTGGCAACGTCGTTTGTGCGCGCGCGAGAGCGTTTCAAAGAAAACCAAACATGGTGAAAAGCCAATCTCAACTCCAAGTTACCAAAAACAGCCAACAGACACCTCCGGGTGTGAGACCGAACAAGAATCCGAGCTATCCGAAAGCGCACTTCTGCGGCGGAGGCCTTCCACCTCCCGGAAAACTCCACAGGCTTCCCCGCGGTGCTGAAGGCGGCAGAGCCGAGTGGAGCTGGGAGTTCCGACGACGAGGACCTCTCCGCGCTGGGACTCGCAGCGGACACAGCCTGCAGGGGGACGCTGAGCCCCGGCGAGCGCAAAACCCGGGACCACCTCCCTCCCGCCCCCCGAGACACTGGGCCCAAGTCGAGGCGGGGGGGGGGGGGGGGGGGGGGAACGGGCCCGGCCGGGGCAGGGCAGGGCAGGGCAGGGCAGGGCAGGGCTGGATCCAGGAAGAGGACAGCGCGCAGCCCGAGCAGCCGGGGAGAAAACAGCCCCCGGGAACAGACAATGAGCCACCGCCCCAGAAGCCGCGGCCCCGGCTTGCAGGTGGCCTCGCGCCGGGCAGGTCTGCCGTCCCGGGCCGCTCCGCCTGGCAGGCCGCGGAGCCCGCTGGAGGAGGAAGGAGAGGAGGGCGGCGCCGGCCCGCGTCCCCCGCCGGGCTCACACTTACCACTGGCGAGGAAACGTCCCCGCCCCAGCGAGGCGCCTCCGTCCGAGCTCCGGACAGGCAGAGGAGCCGCCTCGGGCGAGCGCGCGGCGCAAGGGGACCGGAAGAGGGGCCGCGCCGGAGCGCAGCCGCGGCTACCACAGGAATAGGAGGCAGCGATAGCCCCGCGGGCCAGCTAGGGGAGGGCAGAAGCCTTCGGCAATGGCGACCGTCCGGGCCGGAGGGGAAGCGGAACAACCGCCGCCGCCGCGCGTGGCCACAACCCTGGGGGAGGGCAGCGGCGGCGAGCGGGGGCGAGACCAGAACAAAGCCCCGCCTCTCTCACGGCCGAGGCTCCCTGGGGCGGGTCTGCGCACCACCTCCTGAGGGGCGGGCTCGCGCGGGGCTGCTGGGAGTTGTAGTTTAACGATGGGCACTGCTTTTCGCGTTAGTAGCTTTCTTCTGGGGGTAGATTTGCATGGACAGGGACAATCAATCATTCATCGATTTCGGCACTGTGCACTCTCCTTGTCTATTGATGGCTATTGCTGACAGGATAGGTAGTAAATGCACAAATCTGCTTCAAGACCTTTGTCTCTGGGAATTCATTCTCCATTTTGCTTTGTACATACAAATTCTTAATATATTTGGCTGCCAAATTAAGAACCACAAATAAAAATTCTGCAGTTTATCCTCGGAGGAACTCATCAATGTGTTCACTTATTCTACAAATATTTGAGTAGCTACTGTGTGCAGGATACCACAAGGTAACAGGGAAACAAGAGTGGACATGGTTTTTCTCACCTTGGAGGAATTTACAAATATCCAAACAGAAAAATCACAGGACTGCTTATCTGGTATGAAGAAAAACCTGAGTGGGCAGAGAAGGCCTCTTGGAGGTGGCATTTAAACTGAAAACAGAGAAGCACCCAGAGGAAAGCATTATAGAAAGGAAGGGAAAAGGAGGTTTTGCTGTGGTCAAGAATGCCTGTGTAAGGGCTGGGAAGGTGGCTCAGTGGTAGAGCGCTTGCCTTGCATGCCTGAGGCCCTGGGTTCGATTCCTCAGCACCACATAAGCTAAAAGAAAAAAAGCCGGAAGTGGCGCTGTGGCTCAGGTGGTAGAGCGCTAGCCTTGAGCTGAAGAGCTGAGGGATAGTGCCCAGGCCCAGAGTTCAGGCCCCACGACCGGACCCAAAAAAAAAAAAAAAAAAAGAATGCCTGTGTAGCTGGAGCTTAATGAAAGATGGGGATACTATTAGAAAACACTGGAGTAGAGACAGACAGGGTGACCCATGCCCGCAATCTCAGTACTCAGAAGACAGAAGCAGGAGAATTTCACTGAGTTCCAGACTAAAATGAGTTACATAGTAAGACCCTGCCTCAAAAATAAATAAGTAAACAAAACACACTAGAATAAACAAGATTTATATCATGAAGGATCTTAAACACTCAACCCAAAGAGAAGAAGGAAACCAGAGTGGTAAGCAGGGCAATTTTGGTGAGAGTAGCATAGGAGATGAGAGACCAAAGACAAGGCCTTGGGGCTGGTCAAGAAGTTGGATTTTTTTTTTTTTGGGGGGGGGGGGGTCTGGTCATGGGGCCTTAACTCTGGGCCTGGTCGTTGTCCCTCAGCTCTTCAGCTCAAGGCTAGCGCTCTACCACTTGAGCCACAGCGCCACTTACGGCTTTTTCTTTTTGCTTATGTGGTGCTGAGGAATTGAACCCAGGGCCTCAGGCATGCAAGGCAAGCGCTCTACCACTGAGTCACCTTCCCAGCCCCAAGTACCACTCTTCAATGACATAAAAATTTCAAGGTATCAAGAGAAAATAACTAAGTGTACACATTAACCAGGTTGTTCAGCTTCAGAAATTCTAGTGGAATAAAATGCTATGCTTAAAAAAAAAAAAAAGTGGCAGGCGCTGGTGGCTCATATCTGTAATCCTAGCTACTCAGGAGGCTGAGATCTGACGATCCCAGTTCAAAGACAACCCAGGCAGGAAAGTCCGTGAGACTCTTATCTCCAATAAACTACTCAGAAAACTGGAAGTGGTGCTGTGGCTCAAGTGGTAGAGCGCTCGCCTTGAGCTGAAGAGCTGAGGGACAGCGCCTAGACCCAGAGTTCAGGCCCCATGACCAACCGACAAAAAAAAAAAAAGTGTACACACTAAATTATCAACCAGATGAATAAGATATGAAATAAAGTTATCAAAAAAACAGAAACAAGAGAGACCTGCAAACAACTCCTTTAAAGAATAATTCAGGAAGAAAGTGATCTCAGAAGATGAGATCAATAGCTGCAATGAAAAATGACCAGTACCTGCTATTCTACCACTATTAGAATGATTCTGAAGAGCACACCTAGGCCATCTTACTATTCTCTTGTAGCCTGTAGCCTACCAAATCCTATATTCAACTACCTGCTAGTAAAATACTTTGTCAGTTGGATGTGGTCACTTCAGCCTAATAATTTTCGTATCATTATCATTCAACATCCATTTTTGAAATGTAGATGTATAACTAATGAATACCAGGAATATTCATTAAAGCTGCAATAGATCTTTCTAGTTCATAAACCATGTACCATTCTATAAAAGATCTAGCTAAAAAATTTAAGTACTTAAGTGGCCACACACACACACACACACACACACACACACACACACACACACACACACACACACACACACACACACACACCTCTGCTGCCCCTCTGCTACCCTTAGTTGAGATCAACTGTTAATCTGTTCTTTGTATCCAAAAGAACCCATCATAATACTTTAAGAAAAACAAACCACAAATGTAGAACAAATAATAGAGCACAATGAACAAGACAACAGTATCCATTTCCTGGACCTTAAAAAAAAAAGGTTGCCAGGAGCTGGTGGCTCACAACTGTAATCCTAGCTATACCCAGGAGGCTGAGATTTGAGGATCATGGTTCTTATATCCAATCAACCACCAGAAAAGCAGAAGTGGAGCTGTGTATCATAACCGCCCCCAAAAAAGGTCAGAATTATAAAGTGTTTGTTCAATAAGTACCAAGGGAAGACAAGAGAAACAGCCAAAAACAGTATGCTGTTATATCAAAATGTCATTTGCCATTACTGACCAGGCAAGAAGAGTCATATCAAAGTTTTCTTCATGAACATTTATATTTTTATTATACTTTTGATAGCTATACATATACATGTAAGGAAGTGAACCAGGTTCTTAGCCACAATCTTAAATATCCACTTACAAATGCGTTTAAATACTTAGAAATCCATTCTGAAGACTAAAAGTCTTACATATGCATACTGATATCCATTCTTGAGAAGTGAACCAATGCTATGGCTCCACCATCTGTGGATGTTACTGAATTTTTACAAATACACAATCCACTTCAATGCTATATTATTTATCCTATCATGAAAGAAATGCTTGAAAAATATAGAATTCTTTCTTATACCAAAACATGAAACAGGTATGTAACTAAACTGAGTTGAAATCTTAGTCACTTTAAACATTTCTAACATTTCTGGCTTTATGACATTGGGTTACCTTTTCTAATATTTAAGTCATAAACACACTTACAAAAAGAAGTGTAAGCAGGGCACCAGTGGCTCCCATCCATAATCGTAGCTACTCAGGAAGCTGAGATCTGAGGATTGTGGTTTGAAGCCAGCCCAGGCAGAAAAGTCCATGAGACTTTTATCTCCAATAAACCACTCAGAAAAAGCCTGAAGTCGCACTGTGGCTCAAGTGCTACAGTGGTAGCCTTGAGCACAAAAAGGTGCAAGGACATCACCCAACTCCAAGTTAAAGCCCCAGGACCAAAAAAAAAAGTGTATGATGCCACACATAAAATTATGATTTATTCTCATAAAACCCCAAAATATTTAGGAAAAATTAATAATATTAAACAGAAACACTGATCACCTCCTGTGACACTACATAAAACAATGTTAACAATTTGGCATCTCTTTTTCAACCTTGCTTATTCTAATTTTTTTTTTAATGTTTTTTTGGGTCCGGTCGTGGGCCTGAACTCTGGGACTGGGTGCTGTCCCTCAGCTCTTGAGCTCAAGGCTAGCGCTTTGCCACTTGAGCCACAGCTCCACTTCCGGCTTTTTTCCTTTTTTGCTTATGTGGTGCTGGGGAATCGAACCCAGGGCCTCAGGCATGCAAGGCAAGCGCTTTACCACTGAGCCACCTTCCCAGCCCTTGTTCTAATTTTTTTAATAGCCTAATAAGCCTATGGTATTTTCTTTTTTTTTTTTTTGTTGGTTGAAGGGTCTGAACTCTGGGCCTGGGCATTACCCCTCAGCTCTTCAGCTCAGGCTAGCACTCTACCACTTGAGCCACAGCATCACTTCTGGCTTTTTTTGATTATGTGGTGCTGAGAAATTGAACCCAGGGCTCCGTGCATGCAAGGCAAGCACTCTGCCACTAAGCCACCTTCCCAGCCCTAGTTTATTTTTTTATTTCCCCCCAAATATATAACAGTAGACAAATCCCTTTGTCTAAGGAGAAAAAAAATCACTTGGAGATTCCTTTTTTTTGTTGTTAATTTCACAGAACACTTCTTAAGAATGGCAACTTGAAGCTGGATATTAGCAGCTCATGCCTGTAATCCTAGCTGTTCGGGAAGCTGAGATCTGAGAACTGTAGTTTATAACTAGGCTGGGCAAAAAAGCCTGGGATACTCTTATCTCCATTTAACTACCAAAAAAGCCAGAAGTGAAGCTGTGGCTCAGGTACATAGCACTAGCCGTGCTCAAAACAAGCTTAGAGCCGGCACAAGAGCCCTGAATTCAAGCCCCAGGGTTGTACACACACACACAAGCACACGTGCTCGCACGCGCACACACACACACACACACACACACACACACAAAGACAACTTGAATTGTCTCCCCAACAAACTCAGTAGAAAATCAGTGAATCTTAGTTTCTTAGTTTTCAGTTTCATTAAACCTCCAGCCAATTTATACATGCAAAAGAAATATTTTAGGGCTGGGAAGGTGGCTAGGTGGTAGAGTGTTTGCCTTGCATGCCTGAGGCCCTTGGTTCGATTCCTCAGCACTACATAAGCAAAAAGAAAAAAGCCGGAAGTGGCGCTGTGGCTCAAGTGGTAGAGCACTAGCCTTGAGCTGAAAAGCTGAGTGACAGCGTCCAGGCTGAGAGTTCAGGCCCCACGACCGGACCCAAAAAAGAAATATTTTAAAAGGTAACAGGAAAAAAAATAATTTTTTCCTTGACCTTCTGAACTTTAGTAGTCTCATAAAACTAAGATTCAAATTAAACCTGATTTCCATCTAAATTAATTTTTTCTTTTTCTTTTTCTTGAGAGGAAAGTACTGTGGATTGAAGTCAGGGCTTCATACATGCTAGGTAAGTGTCAACCACTTGAGCTAGATAACCCATTTTATTTTTATAAGGATTTTCTCCATTTTTAGCTTAAATGGAAAGGTTCATATTTATAAAGTGAGAATAATTTGTCACCAATTATAATGAACTGATTTTTTCTATCTTATTTTCTCTTATCTTTTCTAAGTTTTTTCCAAGATAGTCACTTCTAACAATAAATGTTAATGCAGCCGAATTAAGCCTTTGCTATAGGCTCTTGATGACTAAACATTTTCAAAGGTTTACACAAAAGCATTAACTTTTGGAATTAGCTTAGAGTGACTAAAAATTTCCTCTGGCAACTTTAACTATAAATGAAGATAAAACACAAAAGTTATGAATTTTAGAAGAACATTTCTAAACACAAATAAGTTATTTAGGATTACAGAAAACATTTAACTGTAAAAAACTTATATGAAAAAGTGGCCATATTTGAAAACAGCAAGAAGGATTAAAATAGAACACAGGATAGTAATGAGCAGAGTCACAGAGCATACTAACGAGGTATGTATAGTCAGTCCTACTGGAACATGTAAGGTTACATTCTTGAGGATCTATGGAGAGAAGAGTGAGAATTAGAGACATTTAAAATGCTACATCTTACATTAAGATCACTATTTCTTTTGTGTGTGTGTGGACCTAAGCTTTGTAAGCATTTTTGCTCAAGGCTAGTGTTCTACCACTTGAGCCACAGTTCTTTTTGGCTCAAGGAAAGTGCCTAGGCCCTGAGTTCAAGCACCACAACTGATTTTTTTTTTGGGGGGGTCCGGTCGTGGGGCCTGAACTCTGGGCCTGAGTGCTGTCCCTCAGTTAGTTCTTCAGCTCAAGGCTTGCGCTCTACCACTTGAGCCATAGCGCCACTTCCAGCATTTTTTTTTCTTTTTTAGCTTATGTGGTGCTGAGGAATCGAACCCAGGGCCTCAATACATGCAAGGCAAGCACTCTACCACTGAGCCACCTTCCCAGCCCCACCACAACTGATTTTTAAAAAATACTATTCATTTGTATTTAAAAAAAAAAAAAAGAATCAGGGACTGGGAAGGTGGCTCAATGGTAGAGTGCTTGCCTTGCATGCGTGAGGCCCTGGGTTCGATTCCTCAGCACCACATAAGAAAAAAGCCGGAAGTGGCACTGTGGCTCAAGTGGTAGAGTGCTAGCCTTGAGCTGAAGAGCTGAGGGACAGCACCCAGGCCCAGAGTTCAGGCCCCACGACCGGACCCCAAAAAAGAAAAAAATCAAGCCAGACACCAGTGGCTCACATCTGTAATCCTAGCTACTCAAAAGGCCAAGATCTGAGGGTCACTGTTCTAAGCCAGTCTGGGCAGAAAAGTCCTTCTGAGACTCTTATCTCCAATTAATCACTCAAAAACTGGAAGGGGAGCTGTTGCTCAAAATGGTAGAGTACTAAGCCTTGAACAAAAAGAGCTTGGGCAGCATCCAGGCCTTGAGTTCAAGTTTCATGACTGACAAAGAAAAAAAAAAATCACATTTTTCCAAATGTATTTTAGAGTTTAAAAACTATTCAGGTACACTATTCAGGTACCACATGGCAGTGACAGTGTGCTCAAAATCAATTCTAAGCTGTCTTAAATGTTGGCACACTCACCTATTTTCAATTGTCAGTTCTCTGATATGCACAGCATACCACACTGTAAGATGTGGCTTTTCTGAGCTACCTGGTAGAAAGACTTCTAGCAACAAAGAAAGCACTTCAGATCTAAATATGCACAATAAATAAATAACGCCACATGGTTATCTGACATTTATGGTGTTTGATAAGTTTAAATGTAATGAAAGTATACAAAAGATTTCTAAATGAGAAGGCACTAAAAACATAGAATATTAGCTTACCGACTTATACTTCATACTGTTCCACTGGCAGATATCCTTACTCTTGAAAGCACAAGGAGCTGCTACTTTGGATTGTGCCCAGCATTTCAAAACCGGAAATTCTGAGAAAAGTGGCAGAACAAGATATCAGAAAACTTTAATTTGGACTAAAGGCTGCTGCTGAACTTCAGCAGCCTTTCATGCAGAGATGTGAGTATTGAAACCTTTTAGCATCTTTTTTTTAAAATGTGGATGACTAACAAATTATAAAATTGTAAAGCTATCACAGAAATTTAACCTGACTTCTTAACAATGCCATTACATGTTTAATATAAATCTTTTGTTGTTGTTGTTGGTCATGGGGCTTGAACTCTGGGCCTGTACACTATCCTTCAGCTCTTCAGCTCAAGGCGAGCACTCTATAGCTTGAGCCACAGCGCCTCTTCCGGTTTTCTGGTGGTTTATTGGAGAAGAGAGTCTCATGGACTTTCTTGCCCAGGCTGGCTTTGAACTGTGATCCTCAGATCTCAGCCTCCTGAGTAGCTAAGATTACAGGCCACTTCCGACTTTTTCTGCTTATGTGGTGCTGAGGAATCGAACCCAGGGCCTCATGCATTCAAGGCAAGCACTCTACCACTGAGCCACCTTTCCTGAAGTCTTCTTAATAGTGAGCAGAGCTGGGCACCAGTGACTCACACCTGTAATCCTAGCTACTTAGGAGGTTGAGATCTGAGGATCACGGTTCAAAGCCAGCCCAAGCAGCAAAGTCTGTGAGACTCTTATCTCCAATAAACAATTCAGAAAAGAAGTAGCACTGTGGCTCAAGTGGTAGAGCACTAGCCTTGAGCTGAAGAGCTGAGGGACAGTACCCAGGCCCAGAATTCAAGCCCATAACCAACAACAACAACAAAAAAAAAGTGAGCAGAGAAACAGTAGCTCATGCCTGTAATCCTAGCTACTCAGGATTACTCAAGATTTCACTTCCAATGTTAGCCAGAAAAAAAAAAGGAGGAGGAAATAATAAAAAAAAAAAATTGCGTTGGGCTGGGAAGGTGGCTCAGTGGCAGAGCGCTTGCCTTGCATGCATGAGGATCTGGGTTCGATTCCTCAGCACCACATAAGCAAAAAGAAAAAAGCCGGAAGTGGCGCTGTGGCTCAAGTGGTAGAGCGCTAGCCTCGAGCTGAAGAGCTGAGGGACAGCGCCCAGGCCCAGAGTTCAGGTCCCATGACTGGACCCAAAAAAAAAAAAATGCGTTCAACTCATCAAAATCTTCACCTTTTAAAAACCTGGACAAAGTCAAAAGTTACAACAGCAACAAAAAAAAGCCAACAAAAGGACACTAAAAGACATGCAATAGAGACAAAACATCCAAAGCCATAAAGACCTGAAATATCAGTACAAAAAAGAAAGTAGGATAGGAGCGAGCAAGGTGGATCAATGTCTATAGAGAACAATCACCCAGCAGGGAGAGCACAAGTCTCTAACCCCAGCATTCCAAATGATCTTGAGTTCACAATCAACCTAGGCTACATAAAGAAACCCAGTATCAAAAATAACAAGAGTTGAGGGGTATGGTTCAACCAGTAGAATACCTACTTACTAAGAGAAAAACCCCTGAGTTCAAAATCCAGTATTACTAAAACAAAACAAAATGCCAGGTATGGTGGTACACACCTATAATCTCAGCTAGTTAAGAAGTAGACACAGGAAAATCATGAGTTTGAAAATAGCCTGGGTGTAATTAGCAAAACCCTTTTTCACAAACAAAATAAAAAAAAAAAAAGCAGTTCAAATCCTAGTACTGAAAAAAAGGAAATGGGGAAAAGGGGCCATAGAGGCATTGTTCAAGTGGTAGAATGCTCACCCAGCATGCAGAAGTTCCTGAATTCAATTCCCCAAACCAGGAAGGACAAAACAAATAAACAGCAACAAAGACAGATATAGTATGCCTACTGATAAAACAACACAGCACTACTACCTATTTGTCAAAGTAATCAAACCTACATCTATTCATACTTCTGGAGCAAACTGCCGACATCCAGGAAATAAAGGAGTCAGAGGAATATAAGGAACTCCATCATAATAAAATCAGGAGAACAGAAGCTAGGAGAAAAAACCTTACTGGTCAAATGACTGTAGTCATTTTAATAGATTAATTTCAAAGAAGAAAGAGAAATGCACGAACAAAGGGACCTCATAGAAATAAAAGATTGTATGAACAAGACTAAATGACAACATCTAAGAATCTATAACATTAATGTGAAAAAAAGGGTTAGTGTTAGAGGGAAGAAGGCTATGATTAGACAAACAGTCACTAGGGTGGCAAGCAAAGTTTTGTGTCTTCCCTTGGATGGTAATTATAGGTCATCTGTTTCAATTTCCAATCAAAAGGTTGAAATAAAAAAAGAAACAAGCTTTTTTTTTTTTTTCCTTTTTTGCAGTAATAGGGCTTGAACTCAGGGCCTGGGTGCTATCCCTGAGCTCTTTCACTCAAGGCTAGTGCTCTACCACTTTGAACCACATCTCCCCTTCCAGTTTTTGAGTGGTTGATTGGAGATAAAAGTCTCATAGGGACTTTTCTGCCTGGGCTGGCTTTGAACTGTGACCCTCAGATCTCGCCTCCAGAGTAGCTAGGATTATAGGCATGAGCCACTAGCACCAGGCAGAAACAAGCTTTAGCCATGTCTGTCTTGCTGGAAGCCTTGCCACCCTCACCTTGGTCACAGTACATCAACAGATCTGGGTTGTTGACCACAATATGTGTTTCTCCATCTTTGCTTTGTGGCCGATGGTAGCGGTAGTGCACAGGTAAGAAGGTGTGGAAACAATCAATGCACTGGACATCTTTTCTGGCGTACATGAGAATTTCAGATTCCCTGGACAGATAATTGGGGGCTTCTATATTAAAATGTTCTGAAACCATCACTGCCTGTTGAAGAGAACACCAGTATTATCAATAAGAAATAAGGAAAAATGAAAATCCAAAAGTAAATGAAGACAACTATTATACAGATATGCAGAAGTGTCAATTTACCCCCTTAAAGAATACCTCTGTTATTCTTCCATTTTCAATTTTTCATAGAAAACACAGGAATCTACTGGAGAAAATATACCCTGGGGTAACAGGTTTCCCCATAATAAAAAAAAAGTTTCTATGAAATTTCCTGACTAACTTCTGTTTAGGTGATAAAACAAGTATCAAGGTAAGTTAAATTATGTGAATAAATATGATATCATTCAGTAATTACAAAACTAACTGTAACAGAAACATAAGCCTGTATTAGGTTACAGTGAATGGGATCACTTTGGTAATTTCCTGTTCTTTAGTGAAGCAAGTAAAATGGTAGTGAGTCAGATAGGCAAAGGTTATCAACTCTTTCCATAGTGGGTATAAAAAGTTAGTGGAGCCAGGCACTGGTGGCACACACCTATAATCCTAGCTACTCAAGAGGCTGAGATCAGAGGATTGCAGTTCAAAGCCAGCCTGGGCAGGAAGTCTGTGAAACTTTTATCTACAATTAACCACCAGAAAACTGGAAGTGGTACTGTGGCTAGAAGTGGAACACTAGCTTTGAGCAAAACGCTCAGGGACAGTCTCCAAGTTCAAGCCCCAGGATTAGGGAGAAAAAAAAGTTAATGGAAAAAGTGGCACACAAGTAGCTTGGATCTTTTTCTTTTTTTGTCAGTTATGGGGCTTGAACTCTGGGCCTGGTCACTGTCCCTCAGCTCTTCAGCTCAAGGCGAGCGCTCTACCACTTGAGCTACAGCACTACTTCTAGTTTTCTGCATGTTTATTGGAGATAAAAGTTTCACAGACTTTCCTGCCCAGGCTGGCTTTGAACCTCGATCCTCAGATCTCAGCCTCCTGAGTAGCTAGGATTACAGGTGTGAGTCACCGGCGCCCAGCACAGGATCTTGGATCTTATGTGTTAATACTGGAGATCAAACCCAGGACCTCATGCATGCTAAACACTCCACTTCTACTCTGAATGACATCCTCAGCCCTTGCAAACTTTTTTAAGATGCAGTTTTAAAAAAGAATTCTATAGCCGAAAGACAACTACAGGAAGAAAGACAGGGTAATCCTGGGGTTCATGTTTATATGTTACTTCTCTCAATATCAGTGCCTTTTACTACCTGATATTCAATGGCTTGTTTCATTATTTTATATATTTTGTCTATTTCTTGGTTATTTCAAGAGAGATATTAAATCTTCTCTTTTTCTCTTTTTGGTGCTAGTACTAGGACTTGAACTCGGGCTTTTTTGCTCAAAACTGATATTCTACTCCTTGAGCCACAACTCCACTTCTACTTCTAGTGTTTTGGTGGTTAGATAGAGATAAGATTCTCAGCCCTGGGGCTGGGAAGGTGGCTCAGTGGTAGAGTGCTTGTCTTTCATGCATGAGGCCCTGGGTTCGATTCCTCAGCACCACATAAGCAAAAAAAAAAGAAAAAAGCCGGAAGTGGCGCTGCAGCTCAAGTGGTGGAGCACTAGCCTTGAGCTGAAGAGCTGAGAGACAGCGCCCAGGCCCAGAGTTCAGGCCCCACGACCAGACCCAAAAAAAAAAAAAAGATTCTCAGCCCTTTCCTTTTGGGGATAGCTTTGAACTGTGATCCTCAGATCAGCCTCCTTGTATCTAGGATTACAGGTATGAGCTGGGCTTTGGCTCCTTTTCTTGTACAAAAGCAGAAGTCTAAATATTATATATTTTGACTGAGTAAAAGTTAGAGTTTCAAAAACATCGTATTTTCACTTGGAACTACAAAATATCAATTAAATATCAGTTAAATGAGTATTATGTTGTTTTCAAGGAGTATGAGAGACTTTTTTTTTCTTGCCAGTCGTGGGGCCTGAACTTTGGGTCTGGGCACTGTCCCTAAGCTCTTCAGCTCAAGGAGAGTGCTCTACCACATGAGCCACAGCGCCACTTCCAGCTTTTTCTGTTCATGTGGTACTGAGGGCCTCATGCATGCAAGGCAAGCACTCTACCACTGAGCCACTTTCCCAGCCCTGAGTACAAGAGACTTTTTATTTAAGTGTTTGTCTAGAGGCTAGAGGTATAGCTCAGTGGTAGAGTGCTAGCCAAGAAGGTATGAGGCACTGGGCTGGATCCAACTGAAGAACTAAGAAAGAAAGAGCACTCTAATAACCTTACTTAAAAATGAAATGAGCTGGGTGCTGGTGGCTCACACCTGTAATCCTAGCTACTCAGGAGGCTGAGATCTGAGGATTGTGGTTCAAAACCAGCCTGGTCAGGAAAGTCCATGAGACTCTTACCTTCAATTAACCACAAGAAAACTGGAAGTGGTGCTGTGGTTCAACCGCTAACCTTGAGCTAAAAAGCTGAGGGACAGTACCCAGGCCAAGTTCAAGCTCCACAACCAACCAAAATAAATAAATAAAAGAAATCAAGTTTATTAGATGTCTTTTGGTGAAGCTTTTTCTTTTTGCAATGCTGATATTATACTGAGGACATCAGGAATGCTAAGTGTGTGCTCCCCACTCCGTTAAACCTTCAGCCCCTTGCTAAACTTATTTAGGGCTTGTGTTGATTGATCTCAAATGCCTTACAACGGATTTTGTAGCCATACCACCCATCTGCTTTGTCCAATTGTTCTAAATTAGAGGCAAAAATTTTTATCTCCAGGAAGATTTAATTCCATACAGGCAACAACTAATTCTGCATATAGGGCTGGCAAGGTGGCTCAGTGGTAGAGTGCTTGCCTTGCATGCATGAGGCTCTGGGTTCGATTCCTCAGTACCACATAAAGCAGAAAAAGCTGGAAGTGGTGCTGTGGCTCAAGTGGTAGAGCACTAGCCTTGAGCTGAAGAGCTGAGGGGCATCATCCAGGCCCAGAATTCAAGCCCCAGGACCAACAAAGAAAAACAGAACAAAACAAAAAAAACTAATTCTGCATATAACTTTCCTTCTATCTAGTTAAAATAAACATGTAATAGTACTTTTCATGACAACATTCCTCTGCACAAGGGATTGGGCCATAGTCTCAACTCGGCTAGAAAGAAGAAAAATAATGTCTGATATTAATATATCAATTTCCAATTATGGGTTATGGGACATGTGACATATAGTCATATTTTTTTTTGTGCCAATCCTGGGGCTTGAACTCAAGGCCTGGGCACTGTCCCTGATCCTCTCTGTGCTCAAGGCTAGAACTCTATTACTTAAGCCAGAGTGCCAGGCAAGCAATCTACCACTGAGCCACATTCCCAGCCTGTGTGACATATATTTTTCTATAAATTTTTAAAATAACAAAAGAAATACAGGCCTATGCCTGATGGTATATGACCACAATTTCAGCTACTCAGGAGGCAGAGGGAAGATCAAGGTCTGAGGTTAGCCTGGGGAAAAGCTTCAGATTCTTTCTGAAAAACAAACTGAAAAGCAAAAGAAGGGCTGGAGATATGGCTCAAGTGATAGAGCTCCTGCCTAAAGAGCAGTGAGGCTCTGAGTACAAACCCCAGTAGTAGGGGGAAAAAATTAACACAAGATTAGGGTTTAGATTAGGAAGCCAAGTATCAAGGTAAGGAGAAACTTGTCAATTAATAAGTAGCCGAGACATTTCTTGGCTGTGGTTCAAGATGTAGAGTGCCAGCCTTGAGCAAAAATGAAGCTCAGGGACAGTGCCCAGGCCCTGAGTTCAAGCCCCAGGACCAGCAAAAAAAAAAAAAAATGGAGATAATGTGTCTTTAAGATTGCTATAGGATTGATTTATGGGCTGGGAATGTGACATCGTGTAAAGTGCTTGCCTAGCATGCATGAAACCCAGGATTCAATTCCTCAGTACCACATAAACATAAAAAGGCAGAAGTAGCACTGTAGCTCAAATAGTAGAGCACTAGCCTTAAGCACAGAGAGGCTCAGGGACAGAGCCCAGGCCCTGAGTTCAAACCCCAGGACCAGCAGGAAAAAAAAAAAGATTGATTTATATAAGTAGTGTGAGACACAATTTAAAAAAAAAAAAAAAACGTTAATTTTAAGCCAGGAGCCAGTGGCTCACATCTGTAATCCTAGCTATTCAGAAGATTAAGATCTAAGGATCTCAGTTCAAAGCCAGCCTGGGCTAGAAAGCCCATGACACTCTCATCCCCAATAAACTACTCAGAACAAGCCAGAAGTGGCACTGTAGCTCAAGTGATAGAGCACTAGCCTTTAGCACAAAGAGGCTCAAGGACAGCACCCAGGCCCCAAGTTCAAGCTCCCTGAGCAAAAAAAAAAAAAAAGTTAATTTTTCCTTCTTTAAAAAAAAAAGAAAAAGAAAATACCTGGCATATAGATAGCTATCTATTAAGTATTTGTTTCCTTCTTTTCCATACATAAAATATAGTTTAACAAAATTGCTATGGAAGTACTACTTACTAATTATTAATCTTCTCTGTATACACACATAGATGTATATAATATTTTCTGTAAGCTATCATGCTGAAAAGCTTTAAACCAGCTCATATGGTGTAGTAATAACAAGTTGTAGTAATAACTCACTTGTTGAAAAATACTCCCATTAGTAATAACAAGTTGTAGTAATAACTCACTTGTTGAAAAATACTCCCATTCTATCTCTAAAAGTGTCTATTTGTTTTGTTTTTGTGCTGGTCCTGGAACTTGAACTCAGGGTCCAGGATAGCACTCAATCACTTGAGTCACAGCCCAGGCTTTGTTTGAGCTTAAATGGAGATTAAAGTCTCACTTTAACTCATCACTGGCTTCAAACCATAATCCTCAGGTCTCAGCCTCCTGAGTAGCTAGGTTTACAAGTGTGAGCCACCAGGACTCAGCTTAAGTATTGCTTTATATATTTAAACAAAATGTAAATTCGTTTGTCTGAAGTATTTTGCCTTGATCCAAGTTATTGAGTCCCTAAATTAATTTCTCACAAAAAAAAATTCTTAATAGTTATACCTCTGTTATGTTTTTCTCTCGTAATGAAGCCAGTTCATATGGATCCACAAAAAGTCCTGTTGGGATATAATGTTTAATTAAGAGTCGGCAGGTCTGCAAGTCTTCAATGCTTTCTCCAAACTTCACTTTTATTACAAGGTCTCTAGAAGACAAGTACAGTTTAAAATAAATCTCTTCATTCAATTGTTAAATGATATAGTACAACATTGTATCTACAACAGTACAAACACTATATTTCAAATTCACTTTCCAAAAGTAGATTAACAAATGAAATATTTATACTATGTCATAGTTACCCATTAGCTCTTTCATAATTTATGTTATAAGCAATAAACATTAGAAAAAAAATTAAGATCACTTGAAAAACAATTAAATCCAAAAAGTAGTCACATATTTTCAATAAAGTAAACAACACAATTTGATAGGGAAAGATAAGTCTTTCAACAAATGATATGTGTGTAAATATATATGTATGCATCTATACACACATGTGTAAATAGATGTACATGTATATTATATACATATATCACATATTGCAGTATATACATATGTTCACATATGTGTGCACATGCACATATATACATATATTTATATATATATATATAGCTCCAGCTGGTTCAATATTTGCTATAAACCATTTATATATCTACATGAATACATACACATATATACATATATATGGTATATATACATATAATCTTTTCTGACCTCATAAATATATCTACAAATTAATTTAAAATACATTATAGGAGGTGGCTGCTGGTGGCTCAAGTGTGTAATGCTAGCTACTCAGGAGGATGAGATCTGAGGATTGTGATTCAAAGCCAGCCTGGGCAGGAAAGTCCTAGACTTTTATCTCCAATTAACCACCTAAAAACCAGAAGTGGAACTGTGGCTGAAAGTAGAAGAGCAGTAGCCTTGCACAAAAAAGCTCAAGGACAGTGCCCAGGCCCTGAGTTCAAACCCCCTCGACCCACAAGAAAAAGGAGGCTGAGAACTGGGGATTGTGGTTCATAAAGGCAGCAAAGTACATGACACCCTTATCTCTAATTAACCAGCCAAACAGAGCTGGAAGCATGCTCAATGGTGGAACACCTGCCTAGCAAGCACAAAGTCCTGAGTTAAAGCCCCAGTACTGGGGGAAAAAAAAAAAGAGGAAGTGGCACTCTGGCTCAAGTGGTAGAACGCTAGCCTTGATCTGAAGAGCAGAGGGACAGTACCCAGGCCCAGAGTTCAAGTCCCAAAACCGACAACAACAACAACAAAAAAAGATAGTTCTCACAAGTGTATTACTAGCCTGTGAATACATAAACCAAGGATGGAAAGCTTTCTTTAAAGAGCCTCATAGCAAATACTCTTGGCCTTTTTTTTTTTTATTGTGAAAATACTGTACAGAGGGGTTACAATTACATGGGCAAGATAATGAGTACATTTCTTATCAAGCATTGTAGCCTCCTCCTTTGTTTCCCCTTCCCATCCCATCCTCCCCCCTACCCACCCACTCTTAGCCTTTTGAGACACCTAAAATTTGTTATATATTTGCTTCCATTTTTATACTTTGAAAATGTAAAAGTTACTTTATACACTGCTAAATATCAAAAAGAAGCTGGGCACCAGTGGCTTGTGCCTGTAATCTTAGCTACTCAGATGGATATCTAAGGATAATCGTTCAAAGCCAACGTGGGCAAGAAAGTCTGTGAATCCTTACCTCAAATAAATCACCAAAAGAAGCCAGAAATGGAGCTGTGGCCCAAGTGGTAGAGCACTAGCCTTGAGCAAAAAGAAGCTCAGGGAGAGTGCCCAGGCCCTGAGTTCAAGACCCAGGACCAGCATCAAAAATAAATATCAAAAAGAGAAAAGAGAATCCTCAACAGCCAGTTGTCAACAATTTCATAAAACAGAAATAGACAGGGGCTGGGAAGGTGGCTCAGTGGTAGAGTGCTTGCCTTGCATGCCTGAGACCCTGGGTTCGATTCCCCAGCACCACATAAGCAAAAAGAAAAAAGCCGGAAGTGGCGCTGTGGCTTAAGTGGTAGAGCACTAGCCTTGAGCTGAAGAGCTGAGGGCCAGCGCCCAGGCCAACAGTTTAGGCCCCAGGACTGACAATAAATAAATAAATAAATAAATAAAATCTGTTAGTCCTAACTTGATCACCTAACTCATTATTAACAGTTAACATATTTCTTGAGTAATTACTATATGACAAGTACTATAATGAGGAGCTTTTGGTGTTTTCTGATTTCATCCTCACAATACTAAGGAAATATTATCACTCTCAGCTTCACTGATAAGGTACTAAACACTTAACTAACTTGTCTAAGGACACATAGATACTGAGAAGTACAACTACACTCTGAGCCCAAATCTAAGTAAAAAGAAGACCAAATTTTTCCACTATATCATTTCCTAAACATTTATGTGAATAGACTAACTTTGAAGACAGAGGATAGTGAGATGATTTCACTTAGTGACTATAAAATGAAATTACTTAAAAAAATATTAAACTTATATATCTAGCTATCAAAGATCTAAGATTCATTTCAAAGAAATCACTTGAAAAGCATTAAAATTTAGGAAGTTTTCTTTTCTTTTTTTTTTCTTTTTTTTTTTTTTGTCATTCGTGGGGCCTGAATTCTGGGCCTGAGAGCTGTCCCTTAGCTCTTCAGCTCAAGGGTAGAGCACTAGCATTTGAGCCACAGCACCACTTCGGCTTTTTCTGTTTATGTGGTGCTGAGGAATTGAACTTAGAGCCTCATGCATGCAAAGCACTCTACCACTGAGCCACCTTCCCAGCCCTAGGAAGTTTTCTTATGGAATAGTTTCCACAACTTTTTACCAGCCTTTTAGATCTTCAATACTAACAAACATCTTTTTTGTTTGTGGGGCTAAGAATCAAACTCAGGGCCTTATGCATGCTGTATCCTCATCCCCAAACATTTATCATTTATTTATTTGTTTTTGTGACTGACCAGGGCCTAGGTTTTGTGCTAGTTTCAACTCATGGCCTAGGTTCTGTCCCTGAGCATTTGTGACCAAGACTAGAACTTTACTACTTGAGCCACAGTTCCAATCATGGCTTTTTTTTTTTTTTTTGGTGATTAATTGAAGATTAAGAATCTTACAGACTGGGTTGGGAAGGTGGCTCAGTGGTAGAGCGCTTGCCTTACATGCATGAGGCCCTGGGTTCGATTCCCAGCACCACATAAGCAAAAAGAAAAAAGCCGGAAGTGGCGCTGTGGCTCAAGTGGTAGTGGGCTAGCCTTGAGCTGAAGAGCTGAGGGACAGTGCCCAGGCCCAGAGTTCAGGCCCCATGACCGGACCCAAAAAAAAAACAAAACAAAAAAGAATCTTACAGACATGGGGCTGGGAAGGTGGCTCAGTGGTAGAGAGCTTGCCTTGCATGCCTGAGGCCCTGGGTTCGATTCCTCAGCATCACATAAGCGAAAAGAAAAAAGCCGAAGTAACGCTGTGGCTCAAGAGGTAGAGCGCTAGCCTTGAGCTGAAGAGCTGAGGGACAGTGCCCAGGCCCAGAGTTCAGGCCTCATGACCAGACCCCCCCCCCCAAAAAAAAATAAAAATAAAAAAGAATCTCACAGGCTTTATTGGCCAAGCTGACTCCAAACTTGGGTCCTCAGATCTCAGCCTCCTTAGTAGCTAGGATTATAGGCATGATCCTCCAATGCCTGGCAAACATTTGTCTTTTGAAAACAGTTTTAGATTTAGAAACAGCTTGGTTATTTGGAACGAAGTCTAGTAAAGAAGAAATCATTATTTCAAGAGATACATATTATTTGACAGCACAGCTTTAAAGCACAGCGCAATAATATTATCTGAGTCAGCTCTATTACCCTATCAAGTTATTTAAATTTCTGAGCCCTAGTTTCCACATCTAAAAATCAAGAAATATCTGTCTCATGGCTGTTGTGAAGATTAAATGAGATATTGTAAATGTAGCTTCTGGCTATATATATAAAATTAAGCATATATTTTCTCCACTATTACTTTAATAGTTTCAAAGTTTGAAGCACATAGGATATCCTTATTTCAATTTGTCCATATTTTAACTACCAACTCTTTCTCTAATTATATGACAGTATGTGAATATAAGTAGAAATCAATGGGTAACTTACCTGTGGAAACCATCTTTCAAAACTTCTTGCCTCAAAATAATTTCAGAACAAGTGGCCCTGATGCCTGTAAGAATCCAAAGACTTCTTAAAATAGACACTCAGTGAAAGAATATTTAAACAACTGAAAATAATTACACCAATATGCTTAGGTTGTCAGAAAAACTAACCAACCTAAAGGCAAAACAAAAAAAAATTTAATGTTAAATAGTTTAGGTAGGAAGGGGTGGCTCACTCTAGCTACTTGGAAAACTGAGGGAGGATCCATATTCCAGGACAACTCAGGAAGAACAGTCCATGAGACACTGTATCAACCAATAGATGGCACCTGTTATCCTAGCTACACAGAAGGCTGAGATAGAGAGGATCAGGGTTCAAGTCCAGCCAGGACAGAGAAGTCTGTGAAAGACCCTCTCAATAAAAGAGAGCTGGACATTGTGGCATATGCCTGTTCTCTCAGGATGGGAAGCCTAACATAGGCAATGACCACCCAGGTATATGCTTGGATAGGAAGCAAGATCCTATCTCCAAAAAAAAAAATCACAAAGGCTCAGCAGCAGAGCACCTGCCTACCAAGTATAAGACCCCGAGTTCAAGCCTCAATACACCTCAACAAAAAATTTAAGCTGTTTGAATTGCATGTAGATCTATTTCCAGTGTAGCATCTTGGTTGAAAATACTGATGGTAGAGCTGAGTGCCAGGGGTTCATACCAGTAATCCTACCTGTTCAAGAGACTGAGATCTGAGGATCATGGCTTGAAATCAGTCTGTACAGTTTGAAAGATTTTTTTTTTGGGGGGGGTGTAAGAAATGTTATGTATTGTACAAAGAGAGGGCCATCTGGCTCCCATTTCTGGGCCCTGTTAAGACTATATATTCTACAATAGTAACTCCATTTCTTTTTGCCATTCAAAGAGCTCCAAAGACCTATGATACTGTTCATTGAAGAGTCATAAACCCTTCAACTCCAGTTAAATCCTTGGTGTTTCGGCTGTATGGGAGCTGTGGAGGCTGGTTTTGTTGGAGGTCCTGTTACAGCCCCGGCAGTAGCTGGTTTAAGAGTGTAAGGTTGCTGTTTCTGAGAGGCACAAGTAGGGGTGGGAGGCAGTTAGTTCCCTTTGTATTCCATCACTGCCATCTTGGCTGGATCCTGCTTATTACGATTTGGGATCTGCAGCATTCTTTTTTTTTTTTTTGGGTCCGGTCATGGGGCCTGAACTCAGGGCCTGGGCACTGTCCCTCAGCTCTTCAGCTCAAGGTTAGCACTCTACCACTTGAGCCACAGCGCCACTTCCGGCTTTTTTCTTTTTGCTTATATGGTGCTGTGGAATCGAACCCAGGGCCTCTGGCATGCAAGGCATGCACTCTACCACTGAGCCACCTTCCCAGCCCTGCAGCATTCTTGTGTAACCTCCATTCTGATCTCAGTAGCGAGAAGCCAGTACTTGAAAGAGCTTTGGGATCAAGTCCTCCTCTGTGAGCCAGAAGTCAGCCATAAGCTTCTAGATATAGCCCCTCATTTCATCCATGCACCCCTACTGTGCCTCAATGAGTTCATGCTGCACCAGTTCCATTTTGCACCAGTTCCATAAAAAAGTCACATATCAAGTGGATTCAAGACTTAGGGCCAAGGCCCAGGCACTGGTGCACATGGCCGTGGGATATGGTTGCAGCAACCACGAGTCACATCTTCACAGCATCAACCCTGAAAGACTCATCTCTAATTAACCACTAAAAAGCTAGAAATGGAGCTGTGGCTCAAGTGGTAGGGTGCTAAACTTGAGCATAAAAGCTCTGGAATCAGCACACAGGCCCTGAGTTCAAGCCCCTGGACAAAAAAATTAAATAAATAAAAATAACATAAAATACTGACTTTGGAGTTCAATTCTCTGATTTCAAATATTAGTCTATTGATAGCTCTGTGTCTTTGAGCAAAATAATTTATCTCTGTAGTTTTCGTAAGAATTTAATATAGGGACTGGGAAGGCGGCTTAGTGGAAGAGTGCTTGCCTAGCATGCATGAAGCCCTAGGTTTGATTCCTCAGTACCACATGAACAGAAAAAGCCAAAAGTGGTACTGTGGCTCAAGTGGTAAAGTGGTAGCCTTGAGCAAAAGAAGCTCAAAGACAGTGCTCAGGCCCTGAGTTCAAGCCCCAAGACTGTCAAAAAAAAATAAGAAAAAGAATTTAATATATGTAGAAGCACTGAGAACAATGCTACCATATAGTAAGCATTCTATTAATAGTACTTCATTCAGATTAATCCCAGGACAAAAAAAAACAACATAGAATGGCTTAAGAGCCAAAATTTCTGTTTTAAACATAGCTCATTGAAACTGTGCCCTTATCAACTACATAATGATAACTTCTGTATTCTAACATCCATGCCTGGGGGAGGGGCTTAAAATAAAAAGGGAAACTGAGGCACTCAAACATCCAAAGACTTCATTTATAAGGTTAAAATAACCAAAATTTTACTTGACTGATTCCATGCTATCACTCAACTTACCTACCATAAAATTAAAAATTCAGTCTCTGCCCACTACCAACAATGCCAGGCTATAGAACTAGCCTCCACAGCAAAAGCTAGATGTATGTAGGAAGAATATTAAAACACTCAGCAACCATGTAGACTGCATGCCACTAACCCACTAGCTCTATTCTTGAGAAGATGCACTAAGAAAATGACAGGGAGGCAAAACCTTTTGAAATTAGGAAAGAAAGCAGAAAAAATGCTAAAATCTCCATATTCAATCTTGTCCTTTGAGCTTTCACATTTTCTGTTTTTTGTAACTTTTACAACTTAGCACATCAAGTAGGTGTAAAGCTACTTGAACACAGGAGAAAGCAAGGGTTTATAGTTAATTAGTGGTGGGTCATACAACTAGTAAGACAGTGACTCATTAGAAAACAAGTTTTGCCTAACTATTAAATTCTATTGGGATGTATTCCAGAGAGTAGTAAATCATTCATTTTAGATGCTAGAGAAGGCTATTTTAGAAATAGTATAGTATATTAAGTATTATTTTTTCATGTTTACTACCATACATTAATAGTAGGTCTCACTGTGATAATTCCAGAGTTATGTCCAGGAAGTTCATCCCATTATGTTCCCTTAATCACTCTTCGGCCCAGAATTGATTCTGGGTTTGTCTGTGTGTGCTAGTACTGGGGCTTTAACTCAGAGCCTTGTTCTTGCTTAGCTTTTTCACTCAAAGTGGCACTGTACCACTTGCGCCTCACCTCCACTTATGGCTTTTTGCTGGTTAGAGAAAAGTCACCTGGGCTGGCTTTAAGACTCACTAAATCCCAATCCTCAGATCTCAGCCTCCTGAGTAGTTAGGATTACAGGCATGTTTCACAAGCGTCCATAATATGTGTGGGCAACTGATACCTATAGTTGATTTTTAAGGCAAATAATTTCTATCTGAATTCACTTTCAAGAATCCATCCTCTTAGCTACACATAGTAAGTTTATGCCTGTAAACTCAACACTTGGGACACTTAAGTAGGGAACGCCAAAGAGGAGGCCAGCCCGGAATATATAGCAAATCCTTGTCTTAAAGGAGAAAAAAACAAGTGTCTCCCTCTACCTGTTTTATTTTTGCTCACTGGCAGGTGTCCTACCACTTAAGCCATGCCTCCAACTCTACCCCTCTTAAATATTACTTTATTTGGTCGTGATGGCCTGAACTGGTGCTGGAAATTGACCCCTTTTAATTATAAAATGCAATGCTGCCGGGCGCTGGTGGCTCACGCCTGTAATCCTAGCTACTCAGGAGGCTGAGATCTGAGGATCGCGGCTCAAAGCCAGCCCGGGCAGGAGAGACCATGAGACTCTTATCTCCAATAAACCACCAGAAAACCGGAAGTGGCGCTGTAGCTCAAGTGGTAGAGCGCTCGCCTTGAGCTGAAGAGCTGAGAGACAGCGCCCAGGCCCAGAGTTCAAGCCCCACGACCGACCAAAAAATAAATAAATAAAATAAAATGCAATGCTGGAAGAGTTCTTGGAGATCCCAAGACCAGTTGCTTTAAAAAATCTATTTGGCCAGGAGCTGATGTCTTACACCTGTAAACTTAGGTAGTCAGGAGGCTGATATCTGAAAACCGCTGTTGGAAGCCAGCTTGGCCAGGAAAGTATGTGACTCTGATCCCAAAGTTTAAGCCTCAAAACGGGGAAAATAAATAAATCTATTTGGCTTCATCATCTTTTCAATAAGTTTGTAAACGAACATGCTACCAAAAGTCAGAACTGTGCTGAGTCGCAGATGCAAATATGACACCCTCATTTTGTAGCCGGAGAAACTCATCGGGGGTCGGTGCTGACTTTCCTATCGAGCCTCGTCACACTTTATTACTCTAGCACGTGTCTGACTTTCCCTCCACACAGCAAATCTAAATGGTGCCGTGTTCGGCTTGGGGCTGGCTAATCCCCAAGTGTAACAGCACTTGTTTCAGCGTTCAGGCTGTAATGGACCCAGATCCGAAGATTCCCAGTCCCTTGTCATAAAGAAACCCCAGACCAACCCGGTCTATCAGCAAAGACGTGCGTAGAACGAACCCTCCACACACCTACCCCCAACCTCGCGCCCAAGTACACGCGGGGGTATTAGGCACAGCCTGGGGAGCGTCACACCTTACGGGGCGCGGATACCCGTCTGGCTGGGGGGGGGGGGGGAGGGCAGGGAGGGGAAGAGGGAAGAGAAGTTTCAGGAATCCACTAGTATCCCAAGACGCTTCATGACTGTGGTTGGTCCGTGTTTGGGTCACTGCGGCCAGTCCCGGCCTCGGAACCACCAAAACCCGACTCCACACCAGTCTGGGATCAGGGGCAGAGATTCCCGCGAGGAGAAGCAGAGGCTCGCGGCCTTTGTTTGGCGCCTCCTCGGATCATCCTCCGTTCTAGGGCCCCGCCCCCGGTTACGGCGGCCCACCGCGACGCCCAGAGGACCCCCGAGTCCCGCCGGACCACCACCCTTCCCACCCAAGCCCCGTCCCCTTTACCAGCGCCAAAGGGGGCGTCGCTGAAGGCCGAGGCCAGCGAGTGGGTGAGCCCGGCCAACCCAACGAGCAGCCAGGCCACTGCCCGGATAGCCACGAACCGGGCAGCCAGGACGCCGGAGCGCGGACGCCCGAGAGGGGCGCGGGAAGACCAGATGAGGACGCAGACAGAGCCTGCACACGCCTCACTAGAGGCGCCACCCCGACGCGGTGACCAAGGCTGAGAGCGCGTACACGCCGGGTCCGGGTCCGGCGGTTTCCCAGATCTCCTCAGCTTGGAACCCCCTCCGGCTCCAGGCGCCGCGAGAGGCCGACTGCCGCCTGTTCGCCGGCCCCACCTAGTGCACCTTCGCTGCCACGCCCCCTCGTGGGCGGGGCGGGAAGTAACGCATGCGCCTTAGTCGCGGGGGGGGGGGGCGGCGGGGGAGGTGGTTGCCGTGGGAACAGCTCCGCGGGCCCCGCAGCCGGACCCTGGACACGGGATCCCCGGACCTCGTACCTCCCAGGCGTGGCCCCTGGAGAAGGCTCGCTGCGTCGGTGACGTCGGGTGAGTACGGGCTCGGGCCTCCGGCCGGCCAGTTCACCCTACGGTCACGCCTGTCTAAGCTCTGGCTGTCGCTCCTTCCTGCCGCGCCAGGCTCTGCTGAGGCTCAGGCCCGTGTCTGTGCGGAGAGTTCGGGTGGAGGTTCGGACGTGGGCCTGCAGGAGGAGATACACTCTGTGTATTTCTTTAAGGATAAGAAGGTCAGCCTTGCGCTGGCAGGGACGTGAAGGGAAGCGGCTTCGCACCGAGATCCGTGTCCGGCTACGATGAGAGACACCAAGGCCTCGGCAGTCACTGACCCGCAGAAGGACGGTGTTCACCTTAAAGATAACTAGGTACTCAGAATCTGTCTGCTGGCCCGGGCCCGTCACAACGGGGGGGAATGAGTGCATGTGTTTAACCCTGAAAGTGGCGGTGTAAGGATGGTGTGGAGAAATACGGATTCATGTATGCTTCTTCCAAATATCTTAAAATGCGGAGAGGATTTGAAAAAATACCTAAAAGAATTGTAACTGGTTACTGGGGGAGAAGAGAAAGGCTGAGGACAGGCTTTTTATGATTCTGATCGTGATGATCCTCCTGGAATTATTTTACATTTCTAACATTATAAAGACTAGTAAACATTAAAGTTAAAATTTAAGAAACGAAAGAATGTATAGTGGAAAAAAAAACGACAGGGGTATCTGTTGAGACATCATTCATAAGTATGGACATTTGCTTGAATGGGTAGTTTATATTGTGCTGAGTATTATTTTCTAGAAACTTTACTAATGTCTAAATTTTGATGAAATGGGCTGGGAGTAGTATTTGGTTATTAGATTAGATCAAAGGCAGAGCTCAGTAATTTTTAAAAGTTGGTGGTTGTTGGGTTTTTTTTGTCGGTCATGAGGCCTGAACTCTGGGCCTGGGCACTGTCCCTCAGCTCTTCAGCTCAAGGCTAGTGCTCTACCACTTGAGCCACAGCGCCACTTCCGGCTTTTTCTGCTTATGTGGTGCTGAGGAATCAAACCCAGGGCCTCAGGCATGCAAGGCAAGCGCTCTACCACTGAGCTATCTTCCCAGCCCCTGTTTGTTTGTTTTTGAGACAGAGTCTTTGTAGCCCCAACTGGCTTCAAAATCAAGATCCTCTTGTCTCAGCCTCCCAAGTGTGGGAGTACATATGTGCTCCACCATAATTGGCAAAAATAATTATTTGTGATTAACTTCCTAACAGTTTAAAATTCTCTTATCCAATAATGAAGAATTTTTTTAATTTATTTTTTTATTTTATTTTATTTGTGAACAATGAAGAATTATTATACAAATTATTTCACATCCATAGAATATTTGACAATTATAATCACATAGGTTAATTTTGTAAGTCAAGAAATATATAGGGATAGAAAATAGATAGGAAATAGCGCATATGCCTAGAAAAAAAGACTAGGAAATCAAGAGTGGTTATTTCACATTTTCTTCCTCCTTCCTTTGTCTCCAGTTTTCTACATAAACATGCATAATTAGTGTTGAATTTAAAATTTTTAATTATAAAGGAGATTTTGAAAAACTATGTTAAGTGTTGCTTCAGCAAAAGTCCATATATGAAACTATCATCACCTTATGACTGCTGTTGGAAGTAGAACATTCATATCATTCATTTCCAAAATCCAGGCCACTGGTTGGCTAAAGCCCAGAGCAATAAACCTCCAGCCTGAGTTCCTAAAGCCTGGATTAGTAACTCCCCAGATGTAAGGGCTTGTTGCAATAAGCCTCTGAGTCTGCAAGTCCAGCCTCTCTGCTGCATACTCATGGACGCTGAGCCCTATTCCAAAACCTTAACTCAAGGTTTTCAACATTTGAGAATCTTTCTGAAAATATCATACACACATCAAAAACAGTACCTATGGGTTAGGAAGGTGGCTTAGTGGTAGAATGCTTGCCTTGCATGCATGAGGCCTTGGGTTCGATTCCTCAGCACCACATAAACAGAAAAAGCTGGAAGTAGTGCTGCGGCTTAAGTGGTAGAGCGCTAGCCTTGAGCTGAAGAGCTGAGGGACAGCGCCCAGGCCCAGAATTCAAGCTCCACGACCAACAAAAACAAAACAAAACAAAAACAGTTCCTATAATTAAATATATTTTGGCACTGAGGCTGAGGGAAGGAAAGAAAAGAAACCCCTGCAAAAAAAAAAAAAAAACTAGAACAAAACCATAATGAGATAAATAGGCTGCAATAGAAGCCATGTAAATATAACTGGTTTTTCTATATGGACATGCTAATTCTCCCTCAGATCTGCCTTTTTGATCTGGCTTCTAGGTTGTAAATGCATAGATTGTTACCAGTCAGCTGACCAGGGTTGTTTTGCTCTGTAAACATCATGAGTACACGGGAATAACTCTCCAAGTATTGGTGGTACAGGGCCCTTGGGTGCAGAAAGTATAGGGTTTGAACTTGCAGACCCAGAGCATTACAACATCAGGCCCTGAAAAGTTGGGGAAGTTATTTCTCTAAGCTTTAGGGACTCAGGTTGGAAGCTTATTCCTCTGTGCTTTAACCAACAGTGGCCGTGGCAGGTAGCAGCTATTCCAGTGCTCCACTTGCAGCAGCAGTGAGTGACAGCCACAAGCAGCATTTGCTAATCTTACAGCTCCTGGACAGACTTCAACTCCTACAACATCTAGTGTTAACAGCTCTTAGACCTAGGGTGTCAGCACAGTTGACTTTTGAGGCTTGGGAGCTCATTGGAGCTGTTCTTTAACTGTTACTGCTTCTACACTGCCACTGCTGCTGCTCCTACTCGCCTGCTGGTGTTTCCACTGTCTCCTTGTGTTGTCAGCTCAACCTGTTCTACTAAGATCAAAAGTAGATAAGAAACGAGGACTGGAGAGAATCTAATGTTGCAACACTGAGGGCAGCACAGGAGGGTGTCTCCCAACTGGAAAAGTGAGCTCCAGAGTCTACTCATATAACCAGAAGGGGATAAGTGTGTTTGCACTAATCATAGCTCTTCATGAGAATGAAGCTTATGATCTATACCAATCACAACGCAGCCTTTCAAGCCAATTGTTGTGATCTACACCAATCACAAGCCTTCTGCTGAAGCAAAAGGGGACCCATTCTCTCTTGCTTGGATAAAAAAAAAATTTGAGGGTCACCAAGGTTTTTCTTGGTTAAGAGCCATTTCCAAGGCTCATGCAGAGTATCTGGAGTGGCGCTGACTGGAATACGTATTTAGCCATGGTTGTAATACTTCTCTGTAGCAACAGAAGTGTCCTAGAATAATTCTAAAGTGTCAGAAACAACTAGAGCCCGGCACTGCTGTCATCCTAGCTATACAGAAGGCTGAGAACTAATGGTTAGGATTTGAAGCCAGCCTAGGCAGGAAAGTCTATATAAAAGTCTTATCTCCATTAATCACCAAAATGCCTGAAGGGGAACTGTGGCCCACGTGATAGAGTGGTACCCTTGAGCAAAAAGCTCAGGGACAGTACCCAGGCCTTGAGTTCAAGCATGTACACATGCATGGTACATTACCCTACACACACACACACACACACACACACACACACACACACACACGCACGCACGCACGCACACATACAAACATACAACTAGCTAGAAATAGAGCTCTGGAGAGTGCTTGCCAAGCATGCTTGAGGCCCTGGATTCAGTTTCCAGTAACACACACAGTGGTGTTTGAAAATAGCATTTACCATGAAGACTATCTGGCTGGTGGCCAGGAAAGAGATTGTGGCTGACAGTTCCTTCCACTTCAGGTTTGTCAAATGGCTTACTCTTGATAGTTTTAACCATTCACAGAAATCATTAAAAGAGTATTTACAATAAAGACTTAACAAAAGCCTCAGCACCAGCATTCAACAATACTTATTAGTAGGTAGTAATGTATAATAGTGCCTAACTTCTGACCCAATAACCCACGGAAAGGTGGGGCCCTCTGATCTATCTTAATATATAGAAGCCTTGCATATATACACACATATATATACATATATATATATATATATATATATATATCCCTAACTTAGTATATATGGAAGGCCTGCTATATTCCAGATATGCTGAGAAACTGTGATAAAATAGATATGTTCCTTTCTGTCCTGAGCCATATAGACCTAAAGGGGAAAAAAAGTAAGTTTGTTTGCTTTTAAAAAAAAGATGTTATTTTTGTTTTTTCTTTTTGTAGGAGTAGGGATTGAACTCAGGGTCTTGTGCCTGTTAGGCCCGCACTATACCACTAAGCTCCATCTTCTTCCTGCCCTCCACCCCCACAAGAAAGGAAGAAAGAAAGAAAGAGAGAGAGAGAGAGAGAGAGGAAAGAAAGGAAAGAAAGAAAGAAAGAAAGATCAGTGTGTGAAATCATTTAGAAAGTACAAGGGAGATGTGGTCTGGAGAACCTCTCAGGATAAAAATTTCCTCTATATCTTGGTATAGGTAGTGATTGATATATTTTTTCTTGTTGTTGTTTGTTGACTTTTTAAAAATGATTTCTAGCATCAGGCACCGGTGGCTCAGGCCTGTAATCCTAGTTACTCAGGAGGCTGAGATCTGACAATTGAGGTTCAAAGCCAGCCTGGGCAGGAAAGTCTGTGAGACTCTTAACTCCAATTAACCACCAAAAAAACGGAAGTGGCACTGTAGCTCAAGTGGTAGAGCACTCTCCTTGAGATGAAGAGCTAAGGGACAGTGCCCAGGCCTAAAGTTCAAGCCCCATGACACAAACACACACACACACACAAAAGATTTCTAATAGTTTACATTAGTTATACAAAGAGGAGTCTCATTGTGACATTTCCAAATATGCATACAATGTATCCCAATAAAACTCACCCCCTCTGTTCCCTTCTCTTACTCTCTTACCTCTTCTTGAATCAAACTATACATCTTCATTCACCTGCCCCTCCCTCACATGCCCCATCCCAGCAGAGTCTGAATTTACTTTTCTGTCATTCATTTGATACACTATTTTTTTTTTGTCTCTGTTCCTCAGCTCTTCAGCTCAAGGCAAGTGCTCTTCCTCTTGAGCTACAGCACCACTTCCAGTTTTTTAGTGGTTTATTGGAGATAAGAGTCTCACAGACTTTCCTGCCTGGGCTGGCTTTGAACCTCAATCCTCAGATCTCAGCCTCCTGAGTAGCTAGGTGTGAGCCACCAGCGCCCTGCTTTGATACACTTTCTTAATTGAGCAATAGAAAAGACCCTGTAAGTTTTGTTCTTAAGCTTATTCAGTCTTTTGTAAGAATGCCATACATTTAGGTCCAAGCTGAATTGCATGCCTAGGCTCATGTGTCAACAAACATACCCTTCAAGGAACCAGAGAGTCTTAAAAGATCTACAAACTAGCCTGGCACCAGTGGCTCATGCCTGTAATCCTAGCTACTCAGGAGGCTGAGATCT